GCTTAGCATATCTACCAGCAATAGAGAGGCCACTGGCATTGGATGTTCAGGCCTTAGCCAGCCAGTTTGTTAGATTGGATATTTCTGAGCCGAGTCGAGTATTGGCTTGTGTGGTCTCTCGGTCTTCTCTTTATGATCGTATCAGGGAGCGTCAGTATGATGACCCCCATCTGCTTGTCCTTAAGGACACAGTTCAGCACGGTGATGCTAAGCAGGTCACCATTGGGGATGATGGTGCATTGATGATGCATGGCAGGCTATGTGTGCCCAATGTAGATGGGTTGTGTGAGTTGATTCTCCAGGAGGCTCACAGTTTGCGGTACTCCATTCATTCGGGTGCTGGGAAGTTGTATCAGGACTTGAGACAGCATTACTGGTGGAGGAGAATGAAGAAGGACATAGTGGAGTATGTAGCTCTGTGTCTAATTTGCTAGCATGTGAAGTATGAGCATCAACGGCCATATGGGTTGCTTCAGAAGTGAGAAATTCCAGAGTGGAAATAGAAGCGGATCACTATGGATTTCGTTGTTAGACTCCCACAGACTCAGCGGAGGTTTGATACAGTTTGGGTGATTGTGGATAGGACAAGTCAGCTCATTTCATTCCTGTGATGACTACTTATTCTTCCGAGAAGTTGGCTCGAATTTATATCCGCGAGATTGTCAAGATTCATGGCGTATCGGTATCTATCATCTCTGACCGAGGTACACAGTTTACATCACGGTTCAGGAGGGCTATAGAGCAGGAGTTGGGTACTCGGGTTGATTTATGCACAACATTTCACCCTCAGACGGACGAACAGTCCGAGCACACTATTCAGATACTGAAGGATATGTTTCGTGCTTGTGTGATAGATTTTTGGGGTGGTTGGTACTAGTTCTTGCCACTTGCAGAGTTTGCTTACAACAAAAATTATCAGTCGAACATTCAGATGGCACCGTGTGAGGCCTTATATGGGAGGTGGTACCGGTCTCCAGTGGGTTATTTTGAGTCGGGTGAGGCTAGGCTATTGGGTACAAACTTGGTTCAGGATGCCTTGGAGAGAGTTAAATTGATTTAGGATCGAATTCACACAGCCCAGTCTAGACAAAAGAGTTAGGCGGATCGGAATGTTCACAATTTTGCATTCATGGTTGGAGAATGGGTCCTACTCCGGGTGTCACCCATGAAGGGTATGAGGTTCGGAAAGAAGGGCAAGCTGAGCCCAAGGTTTATCGGCCCATTCGAGGTGTTGCGGCATGTTGGGGAGGTTGCTTATGAGCTTGCCTTGCCTCCCAGTCTAGCAGGAGTTCATCTAGTATTCCATGTCTCGATGCTCCGGAAGTATCACAGCAATCCGTCCCATGTGTTGGATTTCAGCTCAGTCCAGTTGGACAAGGATCTATATTTTGTTGAGGAGCCAGTGGCTATTTTGGACAGGAAGGTCAGAAAACTAAGATCAAAGAACATTGCTTCCGTGAAGGTGCAATGGAAGGGTCAGCCGGTCGAGGAGGCGACTTGGGAGACCGAGCATAATATGCGCTGCCGTTATCCTTATCATTTCACCACTTCAGGTATGTCTCTATGCTCGTTCGAGGACGAACGATTATTTTAAAAAGGGGAGGATGTAATGACCCGACAGGTCATTTTGAGTGTATTAGCCCCGATCCCATATTTACTGCTATCCCCGTGTCTGTTTCTGCTTATGTGACTTCCTGGAAGGTTGTTATTGTGGTTTCGGAGTGAATTGGGACACTTAGTCCCTAAACGAAAGATTAAGTCTTAGGATTTTGACCGTAGTTGGAACTGTATGAAGACGACTTCGGAATGGAGTTTTGTGGGTTCCGTTAGCTTCGTTAGGTGATTTTGGACTTCAAAGCATGTCCGGAATGTGAATTGGAGGTTTGTAGCTAATTTAGGCTTGAATTGGCGAAAATCGAATTTTTGGAGATTTTGACCAGTAGTGGACTTTTTGATATCAGGGTTGGATTCTGATTCCGGAAGTTGGAGTAGGTCTGTAGGGTTGAATATGACATGTGTGCAAAATTTGGGGTCAATCGGATATGGTTTGATAGGTTTCGGCATCGATTGTAGAAATTGAAAGTTTCAAGTTCATTAAGTTTGAATCGGAGGGTGATTCATGTTTTTAGAGTTGTTTGATGTGATTTGAGGGCTCGACTAAGTTCGTATGGTGTTTTAGGACTTGTTGGTATGTTTGGTTGAGTCCCGGGGGCTTCGGGTGCATTTTTGTTGCTTAACGGATTGAATTTGGACTTATGCAAATTGCTGAAGTTTCTGGTTTATGGTGTTTTTCGCACCTGCGGAGGGGAGACCGCACGTGCGGAAGGAGGAGCGCAGATGCGGTTTGGTCAAGCTTGGTCTGTGGGCACATGTACGAGATTGGCCCGCAGAAGCGAAGCCACATCTACGAAAGATAGAGCGCAAAAGCGGACGGGGCCTGGAGCAATATGGCGCAAAAGCGGAGTTCGGTGGATTGGTCAGGGGTTGTAGGTGTATGGAAAAGGCCGCATCTGCGATGCCCGCAAATGCGCAAGGCTGTCCGCAGGTGCGAAGAGAAAACCGCAGAAGCAGAGAGGATTTCGCAGGCGCGCACTCGCATGTGTGGTCCCTTCATTGCAGGTGCGGAGGCTGAGGGGAGTAAGTTGCTTGCGCAGAAGCGCTCTTTTCGCCGCACAAGCGGACGCGCAGGTGCGAGCCCAGGCTCCGCAGGTGCGGAAATGCATGGGCAGAACCTACTTAAGCGAAACTTCGAGAATTTTTGCCATTTTCATCATTTTGAGCTCAGACTTTAGAGGTTTTTGAGAGGGTTTTCAAAGATATTACTGAGGTAAGATTCTTGTATTTATTTTTCTTCAATAATGATGTTTTCCCACTGATTTCCCACCTAGTTGGTGTATGTTTGAGGTGAAATTTGGTGGTTTGAGGCTAGGGATTTGGAGAGTGAATTTTGGGGATTTGAAAAGCCATTTGGTGTCGGATTTTAGTAAATTTGTTATGGTTAGACTCGTGAGCGAATGGGCGTCCATATTTTGTGACTTTTACCCGATTCCGAGACGTGGGCCCGGGTTGACGTATTAGGACGGATTTTGCAATTTTTGTTAAAGTCTTGATTTCATAAATTAGATTAGTCTATTATAGTTTTATTTATGATATGTACTTGTTTTGGCTAGATTTGGGCTATTCGGAGTGGGATAATCGTGGAAAGGTCATTCTTGCTGATTGATTGTGCTTGGTTCGAGGTAAGTGGCTTTCCTCACCTTGTTTGGGGGAAATCCCCTTAGGATTTGTTACTATTGTGATATGTGAGCGCCGTGTACGTGAGATGACGAGTGCGTACATGGGCTACTTGTTGTAAAACCTGATTTTCACTGAGTAGTGATCTGTTTTCATCTTAATTGAGTTATACCAGCATGTGTAGTTATCCTGTTAATCTAATATCCCATGTCTACGTGCTTTAATTGCTTATTTCAACTCTGTGCAACATGCCTAATTGATTTCTTACTTTTTCTTGATCTTTATCAGTCTTAACTCTAGAATTCTTAATGTTAACTGTTGTGTTTATCGGTTTAAGCTGTGTGTTTACTTTTGAGATTATGAGGCGGTACCTCGGGGAGTTCTCCCTGCACATTTACTTTTGAGACTACGAGGCGGTACCTCGGGAGTTCTCCCTGCATATTTACTTTTGAGACTACGATGCGGTACCTCGGGAGTTCTCCCTGTATATTTACTTTTGAGACTATGATGCGGTACCTCGAGAGTTCTCCCTGTATATTTACATTTGAGACTACGAGGCGGTACCTCGAGAGTTCTCCCTGTATATTTTCTTTTGAGACTACGAGGCGGTACCTCGGGAGTTCTCCCTGCATATTTACTTTTGAGACTACGAGGCGGTACCTCGGGAGTTCTCCCTGCATATTTACTTTTGAGACTACGAGGCGGTATCTCGGGAGATCTCTTTCAATATTTATTTTGGGATTACGAGACGGCATCTTGGGAGATCCCCTGTTATTTAATCCTGTGTGTTGCGCTGCTATTTTTGCTGTGTTTTCCTTTTTGTTTAATTCCAGTCTCTTCTTATATTGCTATATTTTCCTGCTTTATTTGTTATATACCAGTGGGCCCTGACCTCCCCTCGTCATTACTCTACCGAGGTTAGGCTTGGCACTTACTGGGTACTGTTATGGTGTACTCATGCTACTCTTCTGCACATATTTTTTGTGTGTAGATCCAGGTACTTCTTATTTACCTCGCTATCAGCTGGGAGTGCTTGGTGTTGTACGGAGACTTCAAGGTGCATCTGCTACGTCCGCAGACCTCGGAGTCCCCCTCTATTCTCTCCTATGTCATTTACCTTCCGTACTTCTTTTGTTAAACTCTGGTGTATAGAAATACTAGTTTCCTTTCTGTAGCTTTTGACTTATGATATTTCAGGTTTTAGGAATACTGTGTATTACTAGAGTGTTGGTTATTGTACATGTCGGGTGACATTGTTACCAGTTATTCTGTTGCAGTTAGTTATTAGGTTTTACTTCCATTTTTATTATTTCTGCATTGTGTTAGGCTTACCTAGTTGTAGAGATTAGGTGCCGTCACGACGTTATACGGAGGGAGTTTGGGTCGTGACAACGCCGGTCCACGATAGCCGGTCCCCACGACATGTTCAGGAGGCAACTCCCAGTGATGCTGAAAAGGAACATGTTGTTGATGCGGTAAGGGTCCTACAAGAACAATAAATGATCATCCTAGGCCACCTCACGCGGTAGGATAAAGTTATGACGGAGTTGAAGCAGGCGCTGTCGGGGGCTTTAAATAACGCAAATAGATGAGGTCTGGTTCCTCCTGGCGCTCTCGGAAATCAAACAATACAGAGGGTCGACAACAACACGCCGAGGGGCGAAGTTAGATCCAATGGGGCTGGGGAGAGCGGATCCGGCCGCAATAATGAAAACGGTCCCTTTAATAATGAACTTTTATGATTTTTGAGGGAAGTGAGCGCTCGTATGGACCAAATCCCAGGAGCACTACCAGTGCTGAAAGGTTTGGACTCAAAGAAGTATACTCAGTTGCCATACAAGCCAAGCACGGCACCAAAATTAGTCCCGAAGCGGTTTAAAATGCCTAGTGTGCCAAAGTATGACGGAACTTCAGACCCTCAGGAGCATATTACCACCTATACAACATCAGTGAAGGGGAATGATTTAGCTCCTTACGAGATTGAATCTATTTTGCTGAAGAAATTTGGAGAGACTCTCATGAGGGGAGCCTTGACACGGTATTCGTTGTTACCCTAGCATTCCATAGATTCCTTTGAGATGCACGTGGATTCTTTTATTAAGGCTCACGTCGGGGCCAGAAAAGTGCAGGCCCGAAAGGCCGACATATTCAGAATTGCACAAGGAGAATCTGAGTAACTGTGAGAGTTCGTTACCTGGTCCCAAAAGGAGAGAATATTTATCTCGGTTGTTTCGGATAAATGGGCGACTGAAGCATTTACCTAGGGTCGGAATCCGAGAAGTTCAGACGCTTCTCGAAAACAGAAGGCAAGCTTGCTTGAATTTCAAGAAACGACTTGGGCGAATGAGTCAAAGATAAGGATCGAAGATGATCAGGTTGTCTTCCTGTCATTGGCAAAAGGACGGGAGAAGAACATATAAAAATCAAAAGACGATTTCGAAACGAACAGACGGCCTTCGAGGGGCCGAGTTTTGCCCTACGAACGGATCGAAGGCCACAGAAGAGTCTTCCGGTCAGCAGACAGGTTCGCCACCGACAGAAGAACCGATCATGGTCGGAAAAATAGATCATTGCAGGACAAAACAGCGTGAGGTACACAGGATCCTTCCTACTGTAGGCTGTCAGAATACAATTTCAACGTCAGTGTAGTTGAGTTAGTGTCATCCATGAGAAACAACAAAGAAGCACGGCTCTCGAAGCCGATGAGATCTGATCCCAGCCAGAGGGATCCCAACTTGTGGTGTGAATACCATAGGACAAATGGCCACCAGACTAGGGACCGCCGACATATCTGGGAAGAAGTGGCGACACTGTTAAAGAATGGGCATCTCAGAGAATTCTTAAGTGACCGGGCCAAGAACAACTATGGTCACAACCAGGATAACGCAGAACCCTCGAAAGCAGGAGAAGATCCTCTACGCCAGATGATCAACCTGATCTTCGGGGGGGGGGGAATGAAATCAACAGGGTCACCTTCTCGGCAGCAAAAAGGATGAAACTATCAATAGCCCATAGAAGGAACTTTGGGAAGTTGTTGAAGATGACATCACTTTCACGGAGGAAGACGCAAATGGATTGTTGCTACCGCACAACGACGCATTGGTAAATCTTTAAATGGTCTAGATTTTAAAATTAAACGTGTTCTAGTGGATCAAGAGAGTTCGGCCAATATCATATAATGGAGAGTATTGGAGCAAGATAAACTCATCGGAAGCATCATTCCGGCCATAAAACTCCTCGCCGGATTCAACCTTGCGAGCATAACAACTCGAGGAGAGATTTTGTTGCCCACGAATGCTGAAGGGGTGATGAAAATGACTCTTTTGCCATAGTTCGTTACCCGGTTCCAAAAGTAGAGAATGTTGCTCCCGGCTGTTTCGGATGAATGGGCTGCTGAAGCATTCACCAAGGGTCTGAATCCGAGAAGTTTAGATGCTTCTCGGAAATAGAAGGAAAGTTTTCTTGAATTTCAAGCAACGACTTGGGCGGATGTCCACAGCAGGTACGAGTCAAAGATAAGGATCGAAGATGATCAAGTTGGCTTCCCGTCGTCGGCAAAAGGATAGGAGAAGAACAGAGAAAAATCAAAAGACGATTTCGAAACGAACAGACGGTCTTCAAGGGGATGGTTTTTGCCCTATGAACGGACCGAAGGCCGCGACAGAGGCTTCTGGTCAGCAGACAGGATCGCCACCAACAGAAAAACTGATCGCGGTCGGAAAAATAGATCATTGCAGGACAAAAACGCATCAGGTACGAGGGATCCTTCCTACCCTAGGTTGTCAGAATACAATTACAACGTTAGTGTAGTAGAGTTGGTGTCAGCCATGAGAAACATCAAAGAAGCACGACTCCCGAAGTTGATGAGATCTGATCCCAGTCATAGGGATCCCAAATTGTTGTGTGAATACCACAAGACAAATGGCCATCGGACTAGGAACTGCCGACATGTTCGGGAAGAAATGGCGACACTATTGAAAAATGGGCACCTCAGAGAATTCTTAGGTGATCGGGCCAAGAACAACTATGGTTGTAACTGGGATAACGCGGAACCCTCGAAAGCAGGAGAAGATCCTCTGCGCCAGACAATCAACCTGATCTTCGGGGGTATGAAATCAACGGGGTCACTTTCTCGGCAGCAAAAAAGATGGAAGTATCGATAGCCCATAGCAAGAGACTCCGGAAAGTTGTTGAAGATGACATCACTTTCATAGAGGAAGACGCAAATGGATTGTTGCTACCGCACAACGACACATTGGTAATTTTTTTAAATGTGCTAGACTTTAAAATTAAACGTGTTCTAGTGGATCAAGAGAGTTCGGCCAATATCATATAATAGGGAGTATTGGAGCAAGCTAAACTCACTAGAAGCATCATTCCGGCTATAAAACTCCTCGTCGGATTCAACCTTGCGAGCGTGACAACCCGAGGAGAGATTTTGTTGCCCATGAACGTTGAAGGGGTGATGAAAACTACTCTTTTTAAGTGGTGGATGGTGACATGGGATATAATATTATATTGGGAAGACCGTGGTTGCATGAGATGAGAGCTGTACCATCAACATATCATCAGTTGCTGAAATTCCCAACGCTCGAAGGAATTAAATAGGTAAGGGGCGACCAGCCGGTGGTGAGGGAGATGAATGTGATTTTGATCTCCAGTAGCAAAGGGAAGGAACACACGGCATAGTGTAAGGCCCCATAAAAATTTATCTAAAATCCAGGGTTTCGTGATACCAAGGTAGACTTATGCGTTGATGATGTGCGTTGGGGAGTTAAAGAAAATGTTTGGAAGTGCAGGGCATTTCTGCGGTCCATTCTGCAGTCGCAGAACTGATCTGCAGACCGCAGATCTACCACAGACTGAAGCAGAAACTTGGATAAATTTTTAGACCATTATGCGGTCGCATAATCATTTCGCGGTCCACATAACCCATCGCAAATCTAACACAAACATTTTTGGAGGGAAGTTCTGCGGTGCGTTATGTGACCGCAGAATAGGTCTGCGGAGCGCAGATCGGTCGCAAAGTGAGGCAGGAGTTCCCAGTTCCGGAGGGCCATTATGCGATCCATTCCGCGGACCACAGAAGCATTACTCGGTCGCATATGCGACCGCAGTTCTGCATCAGGGCTTTATTTTTTCTAACTTTTTAACCCGGCCCTATGTCGATAATTAAACGTAAAGGACTATGTTTTAAGGGAATATATGGTATTTTTAGAGAGAGGAAGTGCCCTAGAGTGAGATGTGAAATCCCTAAGCTAATTGTTCATCCAAAATATTGCTCAAGCCTTGAAATTCAACAAGAAAGCTCACAAGGTCTTCAACGAAGAGGTAAGATTCTAGCCCTAACCTTGAATTTCGAAATTTTGTTTGGGAATAAGTAATAGGGAGGAAGGTTTTGAGGATTAGGGTTGTTGTTTATGCATGCATGTACATTCATGAGTTATGAGAAGGTAGTTGAACTCAAATGGGTAGACCTTGGGTTGTGGGGTGAAGAAAATCCTCCATAAAAGAAGCTAGAAATAATAATGCCCACCTAGTATTTGATAAAATGCTCAAATGAGCTGGAAACATGAACTCCTCCCTAATTTATGTTTAATTTTGCTATATCTCTAAATAGACCAAAGTTGCTAGGATTTCCTAAATGGTGTAGTAAATTAAGGAAAGCTCAAAGTATGGTATGTTGGCTAAAGTCTTCTCTTAGATTTAAACCCCACAATAACCTTGTAAGTCTCGTGTTGCTTATTATAAATTGATTATTTAGAATAAGCCTTATGTCAAAAGATATATGCGTTCGACTTGTATTCCAAATGTTCTTGTTATATTGAGTTACTATTTGAGAAAGTGATTAAGCATGGGATGTGTGTTAATATGTTATGATTTGAAAACGTGATTCTAATAAAAACTAGCATGTTGAATTGTGTAAGAAATCACATGTGCCTAAGACCCTTAATTTGGTTAGTTTCTCAAATGTGTATTTAAAGTCTTGAATAGAAATTTTTGTTGTTGACGATCTGTGGTGATGTTTGAAAGTGAAACAGTAAATATAGAATATGAAATACGGACAACGTGCCAACAATGACTTTATATTTGGGGCCATTAGTGCTAATGAAACAAAGAGGAGAAAACAAGATGTTGAAATGAGTTGTGAATCCTTTTAAAAATAAATGCTTTAGGAGTATCGTTTAGTCACCGAAGAAGGGTAGGTCAAAACAACCTAACCCTGAAACTACACATGCCGGTGTAGGAGTGATTGAGGGGTAAATCCCCGTGTTAATGTGATGAGGTTGTTTCCCCTTATATGAGATGAGAATGATATGTTGAGATGTTTCCCCTTGAATGGGATGAGATAATTGCTAGCGAGATGTGATGTGATGTTGACCCACACGACATTGTGGTGAGACGGCTTAGCCGATCGGGCTGAGATCAAACACAATGTCGCACACATGGTGGTATTATGAGTGGAAGTCTCGGGGTGAGACAGCTTAGTCGATCGGGCTGAGATCGAACTTCGTGCTAAATACACGGTAGTGTATCGGTGCTAAAGATCTCCCAACTTAAAATACTGAAACTTACTTGAAATTTACTTTTCCCTAACTTGACACCTTGATACTGTTTGAGTCTCTTATTGATTTCATATTTTCTTCTCCGTTTACTGTTATTCCTTCTATTGAGAGGGTGTTTAGTTTTACATACTAGTACTATTCCATATGTACTAACATCCCTTTTGCCGGGGGCGCTGCATCTTTAATGGATACAGGTAGTTCCATAGCAGGTGGTATTGATCAGTGATAGCAACACATTCTCTCCTCGGCTAACTTGGTGAGTCTCACTTCATTTTGGGGTCTTATATCTCTTGTCCTTTGTACATAGCATTTTGAGGTATAGCCGGGGCCTTGTTGCCGGCACTGTTGTAGCACTCTTTGTTTCTGTTAGAGGCTCCGTAGACATAGTGTGGGTTGTATCTTGTTTTGGGAAGGTTAACCTAAAAATTTTGTAATCGTATCATCTGTTCCACTTTAACTATGATTGTATAGTGTACTATTTTGGAGACTTGTTAATGACGTAAATAATGGAAATGAACTGGTGTTATTCACATGACCTCTTACTGTCTAAATAATGAAATGTATTCTTCTCTTTATTCATGGGTAAGTTGGGTAGACGGCACTGTGCAGGCTTGCTCGACCGGGGTAACTCTGTTGAGCGATGGTCGCGCTGCTCGAGGTCGTGGTGTGGCAAACTTGGTATCAGAGCCTAATATTTTAAAGTTTCCTAGGGTGTCTCGTAGCCGTATCCAGTAGAGTCCTTCTTATCGGTGTGTTGTCGACCTCATCTATAATTAATAGGCTACTAGGACATTTAGGAATAATACCCTTCTTTGATGTTCTAGATCATGCTATAAAGCTAATTGTAATATTGTTCCTCCTTTAACTCGTGCATTGCTCTAACTTTCAGTATATGGCACCTAGGAAGAAAGCAAGAACTAGCCAAGGAGACAATGCCACCCTAGGAGTGGAAATTTATCCTTCACTTGATGATGCGGGTGAGCACCAGAGGGGAAACGTAAATGGCCTGAGGAACTACCCGGAGTTTTATGGTCATACCGAACGACGGCCAAATTGAGCACGGGGGAAACTCCTTTTTCCCTTGTGTACGGAGCAGAAGCCTTGATTCTGGTGGAAGTATGGGAGCCTAACTTAAGGTATTTCCATGCAAGCGAAGAAGAAAACAATGAAGCGATGCTGGTCAACTTAGAGTTACTTGATGAGCGCAGGGACTTAGCACATGTAAGAATGGAAGCACAAAAGAAGAGAATGTAAGATATTACAATCGAAGAGCCAACCTTTGTTACTTTAAATTGAGAGATTTAGTTTTAAGGAAAGAAACCCAAAACACCCGAGAACTCAACGCAGGGAAGTTAGGCCCAACCTGGGAAGGCCCCTACCGGATCTCAGCTATCACCGGGAAAGGTTCATACGAGTTAGAGAATAAAAATGGAGAAAAGTTGCCAAGCAATTGGAATGTGGAAAACCTCAAGAGATATTATTGCAGACAATCATCGTTTGTACTGGAAGTATGCATTGCACTATTTTTTCCTTCGTCCAGTTTTTGTCCCAATTAGGTTTTTCTAGCAAGGTTTTTAACGAGGCATCAACGAAAAGCATACTACGAAGAAAGTTTCAACGGCAGCAATAAGACCTTTAATAGCAAGGCACACAAGCGAAGAACCACTCCGGGGCGGTTAGATAATTTTTGGCTCTATAGCAAAATTCCCACTGGGAAAATAAGTTTGCTATAAAGTAAAGGTTACCCTACCATTCACAAGCACAAACCATTAGAAGATTGTTAGATAGTCCTTTTCTCGATAGCATAAATTCCTAAGGGGAAGAGAAGCTTGTTGCCGAGTGGAGGATTGTCTAGCAATTCATTAGTGGGATCCTCGAAGGTGCAAGATTCCCAGTGTTCCAATTCACATTCTTCGTATTTGATCACTGAGGGGGGATGATATGAGAATGCAGCAACAATGACTGCCACATCGACCGGATCATAAATATCGGGAACATAATTATGTTATTGGGACTGGGGACTGCGCGGCCAGTCCCGTAGAAATAAGTTGTACAAATTAGCCATAAAAATAGCAATTTCTCTTTAAATGCTAGTGCCGTAATGAACAGGAGACGTCCTCTTTAAGAGCACCGTAAACATAATAGGGCACTCTCTTATAAAAATCCTCATATTAAAGGGTTGATTTCGGTAGAACTTATGCCCGGAATCAAAATTCTTTCGGGGAAAAATAAACCCAAGGCTTTACGCAAAACTTCCACAAAACTCTTAAGAAAAAAGAAGAGAATGTAAGATTAAAACTTGCATAAATTTTTAAACGAAATAAAGACTCAAACAATACTTGAGCAAAATGATGTTTTTATTTACAATAACATGCCAAAATGGCACAGATACAAAAGTTGGAAAAAGAAAAGAAAAGCTTAACTGCTGCATCTCCGGAACTCGGAGGAAGAAAAATGTCCGCGCCCCCGGGGGAAGTGGGTAGGTCCGACGATGGCTCTACATTTTGGCCCTCGCCAGTTTGGCCTTCAACATCTTTGCCTCCTTCTTCCTCTTTCGTTCCCGAAGTTTCAGAACCGAAAGCATCAGGCCCTGCTGG